TGTGTGTGTGTGTGTGTGTGTGTGTGTGTGTGTGTGTGTGTGTGTGTATCAGGGGCAGCCTTTGGTCGTCTGGTTGGAGAGAGCATGGCAGCCTGGTTCCCAGATGGCATTAACACAGATGGCACCATCTACCCCATAGTGCCAGGAGGCTACGCCGTCGTGGGTAAGTTAAAGACACAATCATGGCACCTCTTCTCACTCTCTGCGTTCTCACTTCTAGTACTTTTCTTTAGTAGTTTTCCTTTTGCTTTTTTTCTGAAAAGCCCTATTTAGTTTTTGCTCTACAAACCATTGTGTCAGCGGCAGTTTTGGGATCTGCACAAATATATTCCTCACTCATAACCAACTTGGCTTTTTTCAAGCGATTCAGTCTTTTCTAGACAGAATGCACTCTTTATTTAGTTTACTTCTCATTAGATGTCTGTGAGGCATCGGTGCTTCTGCCTGAGTAAAATGTTTCACTTCTCTTCCCACGGCTCATGGACAATGAATGAAGATAAAGATTTGCTACGGCCCAATGTCTTCAGAGTCCAACTGGACCGTGATGAAAGGAGACGTAGGATATGATCAAACTCGAGCTCAAGTTACGTTTGCAAGATCACCGGACGGTACTTTATTAAAGATCTGGCTGCACAGCTCAGACAGCAGCTGACAAAATGAGACTTTCACAGCTCGTAGTGCTGCTGCCAAAGGGCTCACAACCTACTTCAAAGTTTGGAAATTGAAAATATAACTTGTTGCGTAATTCAAAACTTCTGCGAAGAAATAGAAATTGTACCGCAGTAGTTGTTGTTGGCTGTGGCACAGAGATGTATAAAAGTATCTGTTATTTCCTTTAGGTCCAAACAGTCAATAATATGAAATACCAGAGTAAAGGGTGTTATTCTTCCTCTCATCCTTCTCTTTTTATGAAGATGTTTTCCCATTTTTCTAGTCATTTGCTTTTTCCTTCTCTCAGAAAACAAAGAGGGTCGTGTATATATATATATATATATATATATATATATATATATATATATATATATATATATATATAGCTTGTTTGGGGGTAAAGTCACCATTTCAGAATCTTTATCTTTTCAACCAAGCCACTCTTAGTGATTGTGTTTTTGTTCTTTTTTGTTTTTGTCCTACAGCATAAAGAAACGATCCTTATTGTCCTTCATGTCTGTGTGTCTAAAGAGATGCAGAGTTGTGAGTCCCTCCACCGAGCTACTTGTTGACAGCTGCTTCAGGTCTGCAGCGGCTGTGTTCTTCCTGGGCTGATGTTGTTGTTGTTGTTGTCGTCGTGGCGGCGGCACCGTTTGCTGATGACTCAGCCCTTTACAGGCTTCTTTCATCTCACAGCGGAGGGAGGGAGCACGAGCATTTATGTGAGCAGGATATGTACACGGGCTTAATTAAGTTACAAGAAAGAACAGTGAGACGGGCCTTTGTAGACTCTCTCGCCCGCCGTCTGTTTCTCTCTCCGCTCTCTTTTCTCTTTATTTTAATGCTTTCATTCTTTTTCTCTTTTTTTCTTCATTTATTGGATTGGACTCGTCCATTTTCCCCGTCTCACTTCGCCCCACGCTGCTCGGCCTGCTCTGATATTGCTCTTTTCACAACACTTTATTGGATGGGAAGCAATTGGAAGTGTGATGGAGCCCTATTGAATTACTTATATACGTTTTCTGGCTTATGGGTGTAGCAGATTGTGTGGTGAGGAATGTGAAGTGAGAGTCTGTAACCGTCTGGTCCAGGACATTGATAACAGGAGGACGACTTGGAATCTTTGAGTAAATTGAATTCCAAAGTTGAAGTTTTGTGGCTTTGATCTATAATACATATATTGTGTGTATGATAGTTTTGACCTGATTTATAGCAATATTGATATTGTGTCTTCTTTATGTTGGTAGCAGTATAACTCAACCCTGTGACATCCATACCCATGATTAAACAGCAGTAGACATCTTTGTTTTTATGTATTTGTAGGACAGTAAAGGTTTGTCATATTCTGTATGACGCGTATTCACCCGTTAGTGACCCTCCCAGTATATGTGGTGCAGCTTACAGCTGCCTCTAAAAGAAAAAGTGACAATAAGTGATATTTTTACCACAGAACTGAGTCTGCTAACAAATTACATTTCTGTACTGAACAGGCAGCGTTAGTAGAATTATTCCGACTCTTTACATCAGTAAAAGTGACAAAAACCACGATGTAAAGTACAGAAGAATATGTATTTGTATTTATTTATTTGTTACATAATGAAGTTTATTCTTAACTTAAGAACAAAGCGTGTTTTGAGTCAGTCCATTTTTTTTCAGTCATTGGTATTGTTCAACATCCTCTCTATTGTTCCATTGTATGAGGGATGGTAAAACTATCTATTACCTTTTTGAAATCATGGTAATATTAAAATGTTTTTTTTTCTTCCTTTTGATGGATGACGCCCCTGAAACCCCCTCAAGGACCCCCTTTATTTAGCACCAGGAACCACCTTGAAAACCACTGATCTGAACAATTGCTTCTCTTTTCCGTCTGTCCTCTTCCCCCCCCCCACCCCCACCCCCACCCCCACCCACCCAAAGGTGCGGCAGCCTTGTCGGGAGCGGTCACCCACACAGTTTCCACCGCCGTCATCGTGTTCGAGCTGACTGGCCAGATCTCCCACATCCTGCCGGTGATGATAGCGGTGATCCTGGCCAACGCCGTGGCCCAGTCGCTGCAGCCGTCCCTCTACGACTCCATCATCAGGATCAAGAAGCTGCCTTACCTCCCGGAGCTGGGCTGGGGACACCACGAGTACGTACAGAGGAACACGCTGCACGAACACCAGCATACCGTCATCACACACACAACGCATTGCAATACGTTACAAGTATTATCTTGTTTCTGCAGTACTGTAATGGGAAGCGTAACCACTATATGTTTGTTATATATATATATATATATATATATATATTAATTTTCACATCCTCGTATGTGACAGGTCTTTACTCAAATAACATGTAAATATGAAAATGAAAAAATCCTATTATGGAATTACATTTCTATTTTCAAATTTGCATTATAATTTTAATAAAGTCCCCTATGGGCTTCTGTACTTAATCACTATTTAAAGCCCCATCAGTTTTGTTTGTTAAAAGTTTCTGTTTGTTTGCTCTGTGGGGGTTTATGTATTTAATTAGTCACATAATGGCTTACTGTGTAAATGTTACCAGTCTTTAATGTAAGGTGTTAATGGGTAGAGTGCACAGTGAGTCTTAATGGTTTTAAATACGGCTTTTCATTTAGGTGTTGAACTCCAGATAGCACACATTCTTGCCTGTCGGGGTTACAACCTGGAATCACGGAGAGGATTTCACATTACAGAAACCCAAGGTGCCTAGCTCAGTGGTTCAACCTAACATGGCTTTTAATTGCTTTCACACCCATATTATTAATTCATACCAACCACACAATACCGAATGGGATTACCAGCTGCTTTCCGAGCTCGGGGAAAACCACACAGAAGCACTTTTCATTTAATTGTTTGGAGACGGTTATTGTTACGGATGCTGCCAATTCATTAGGTGGAGATAATAGTTTTGGTTGCATCGTTCACAGATTGGGAGTAATGAGGGGAAAAAAAATGCATTTCACCCTCCGTCTGCTCTTCAGTCCCTGTGGCCGTCTACTTGAGTCTTTCACTTTCTACATCAGGACCTCGGTGGACCACCGCCATCTCACATCTCCTCGTTATCTATTCCTCTCTCTGTCTGTCACTGCTGCCCTCGTCTCCTCTGTCTCTCCTTATTATCCACTGCGACCTTATGGCCTCTCCATCGTGTGTGTGTGTGTGTGTGTGTGTGTGTGTGTGTGTGTGTGTGTGTGTGTGCGCGCGTGTGTGTGTGTTGAAGAGAGAATGAAGGAGAAGCTGTTGCTCTCTTTGATTATTATAACGGAGAAAACACTCAAGTGTGTGATCCAGTTTTATTACAGCTTTGATCGTATGTGCATAGATTTTCGACATTTGGTAATGTTTCGCAGAAAAAAGTGAGATGCTTGAAGTCAGTGATAGAGTTGCATTGTGGGTAATGAAGCCATCAGGTTTTGACAAGAAGAATGTGTGGAATATGTTTTTTTATCACGTTATCTTTTCAGGTCGTCCGTAAGCCTCTCAGGAAACGCCTGGAGAGATACTTTCTTTGTATTTGGCTCCAATGTCCACCTGGACTCCACGAGGAACTGATTCCATTTCGGTGAACTCACAAAACACTTTTCTGGCCAAAACTCGAGAATTGATATGCTAATTATGACAATGTTGGAGTGTTTCAATGTGATAGAGTCCAATGTAATGATAAATGATGCCCAAACTACAAAAATAACGTAACAAACCTGAATAATCCTCTTACCGGTCTGTTTAACTTCATAAAATATTAATGATTGAAAGCTTTAACAAATTCAATTTTTAAAATTTAATCAGGGAAAAATGTGACGAATCCTCTGTGTCATCATGTCAGAACAACACGAGGTAATCATCAATCATCAACACACAATCACATCATCTATACTCAATGATAAACACAAAGTTTACAAATGTTAAAAGGTGATTGAGAAACTGTCAGAAAGCCGTGTCTGTGTGTTCATGACATGATCAATTTATCATCAAAAATATCAAATTATCTCGACATAATGACATACGTTTGGAAATGTTAGAAGTTGGTGAGGTGTAAAGATGATCGAGAAACTGTCAGGAGACTCCTCTGTGTGTGTGTGTGTGTGTGTGTGTGTGTGGACTGAATGTTTACACAAACACACAGAAATGTAATCTCCTTGAATCATCTATATTTAATAACACACACTATGAACTTGACTCACGGCGCAGAAAACTCCTACTTCGCTCCATTCACCTCTTCTTCCTCTCACCGGCCTCCGAGAGAGAGAGAGAGAGAGAGAGAGAGAGAGAGAGAGAGAGAGAGAGAGAGAGAGAGAGAGAGAGAGAGAGAATTTGTGTTATATTACTGCAGCATACGAGAGCGGAGGAGGGGCCGCCGGGTTGAGGGGGTGGGAACTGAAGGTAGCGTCGCCCCTTCAAAGCTGAATGTGTTTTTCACTCAAACTGGAAATTATCCATCTCACACCCACGCTACAGTTCACACACACAGGGACACTTGTGTAACGCCTACCATGCGATACAAACACATGATGGCATGAACATTTGCTCACACACACCCACACTGACATGGAGAGAATTGGATTTCTCATTTATTTATGTATAGCTTTTGCAGATATGAACAGACACTGCATATATATTCCTGCTGCTTCTTTCTAATCAGACCCAGCAGCACATATGAAAGCTTTTCCACCTCTTCTCTCAGACGAGGCTCTTGTCTTCACTTTTGGCTGATCCATCACCAGCTTTGGAGTGCCATTTTTAAAAAAAAAAAAAAAAAAAAAGTGTGGGAACAATTGCATAACACCACTCTGTGTGTGTCGTTTGATTCTCTATCGGTCATTCTAGGTTTCTTAGCATTTCATAATTGCCAATTAGAGCCTGTTGAATTGACAGGAAGCAAAGCCAAAGGGGATCATCATATTTTCTCCGGATCATTACAAATTTCCTTTTATTGGTTTCCACACCTTCCCCTGTTAACACCCCCACTCACACACACACACACACTGCCCTGAGCCTCCGCACTACTGTGGACAATATGGATGATCTGTAAAGCCTAGATGTATAACCCTATAAGTCTGTTTATCTTGGCTCAAATCTGTAAGCTGAGGCTCGAAGCAAGATATACCTCAAACTTATCAGATGTATTGGCCAGCCTTGCGGGCAGGAAGGTTCAATTAAGAGAAATCCAATCATCCACTGCCTTTGATATCCCCGAGAGAAATGAGTCCTTGCAGCGGTTGTGGCCGGCTCAGAGGCATGCATTACGTTATTCTCTCAGATCCACTCTTAAAATGAAAAGAGGTCGCCGACGCATCGGAAAAGATTGAGCTTTCTTTAAGGGGGATGTTTTCTTCAAGGGCTCTATTCACTTCTACATTTCTGTATTTCCCATTTGGGGTTTGTTTATAAAAATAGAAGAACTGGGGAGTTGAGAATGAGCGATGATGGTCACTGTGACTAAAATAAATATATAAAGAGAAACATCTACAATCCTGCTCAGCAAGAAAACCAATAATAAGACCATGTCCTCTCAGGTTTCTTACTCCCCCGATTAATCAAGGTGACTGGAAGTCCATTTGTGGTGCTCAAAACGGCAAGATATCTGAACAATCCACAGAACCAAATGAAGACTTGTCATTCGGACTACTTCTTCTGCCAAAAGTGGTTCCAATAAAAGATTAGAGCTGTAGACTGTTGTGCCATTTTTCAAACAAAATTCCAATTATTGAATTTGGTCGGCAAATATCTCAAAAACACAACACTGTCTGTGTGTAGATACCCAGCCAGTGCCCCTGGATGTTTTGTTTATGTTGGACAATTCTGCAACTCTCTACTTATGTCCAACACCAATGCAGGAAAAGTGTGCTTATAACATAGAATGCCGGAAGAATGCCCCCCCCCCACGCACACACACACAACTCTGTGGCGTTGAAATGAGGGGGCCTAGTCTGCAGTGGATTCGAACGTCTAACGGCAATAACGCACCGGAGCAGATGCGTCGTACGGCCTTCAGATAGCTGCCAAGCAATGTCTGTTGATAGCTGCGGCGCCCACAGAGCTCAGCGAGCTGCGGCTGTTTGGATTCTGTGCCACAGTGTGACCAAACTAACAGTTGGGGTTTGTTTAACTTGCGTCCAGAGAGTTCCTGCAGCCAATCAGTAAACAGAGTCCTGTGACCTGTTGACCCGCGCTACAAGGAATCTTTTCCCAACAGCCGCACTTCACCGCTGCCTGGTGTGTTTTCGGCGTTATTCAAGCTCTCACTTTCGTATCATCATGAAAGCCTTTGAGGAGAAGATTGTGCGCCTTTTCCCCCATTTGTACGATCGACCCACCGTTGGGCGTTGCCCTTTGGATCATATCTGACAATAGTTCAAGGTGGTGCAGATGCGTGTACCGGTTATGCATTGGATCTAAAGAAGGGTTTTCATAGGAGGTAATCTGTTGTTTTGCCATATCCTCCAATTTCAATGTACCTGTCTGACAATAGGGTTAAGATACATTATTTTGTACTTTGTGTAATTTGGGTGAACTGGCCATTTAATGCTGTTAGCAGGGATGATTTGATACAGTGTGTAGTGGTGTGTTACAGCCCCACATAGAAACCTACAGTACAGAGAGCCTTTCTATAGCACAGCGTTCTATCCGTGCTGTTTATAAAGCTTCGACCAACTTCGTGCTCTGTTGCATTGAAGCAGACTTGAGGGCGGATGGTCATCAAATTAACTTTGCATTCCAAGAGATGTCAGAGTATTAAGTTGTTGCCACAACAAGGAGAGGAGAGGCTTGGCCGGAGCTGGTATCCTGGCACCGCCTGCGTTGCTTGGCGGCCGCTGTCATGTTTGCAGTTTCCTGGCAACCCACAGGAAGAGGAAGCTGAGTGTTTATGACTGGTGTACCGGGCCGTACGATTCTGCTGAGGCAAGACCTGCTCACACAATGTCGCCTACTCCCCCCCCCCCCCCCCCCCCCCGCTCCTGCTGCTGTACCCATGGCACTCCGCCACTCGCATCCGCAGGACGCGTCGAGTGTGTGGCGTTATTGGATTGACTGGTCGGCTGTCAGCGTTGGCTCTGAAGGAGAGTCGTTACAGAGTTGGGGCAGGGCAACGTTTTTTAAGAAAACGGCACTGACCAAGCATGTGGCAAAAAAGTATCGGCAAAGCATTTTAATCGATATCGGTTTCCAAAAGTCAGCAGCTATTCAGCTATTCGATTCTTTAACGGATCCGACTTTCTCCATCTTCTCACCTTTTTTCCCTCGACTTTCCTCTTTCCCTTATCTCCGTAACCACCTGATAAATTCCTCTCATTCTCCTCACATTGATTTCGATCTCTCTTCTCCTCTCAGGAAGTATAATATTCGCGTGGAGGACATCATGGTGCGGGACGTGCGGTACATCACACTGAACTGCTGCTACAGAGACCTGCACAACGTCCTGCTGACGGGACACCTCAAGACTCTGGCGCTGGTGGAATCAGCTGGTGAGACACAAACACACACTCCTGCTTTGTATTTGTCACAAACCTAAAAATTGAAAGATCGTACATATCATAATAGTCCATCTGTACTACAGCTTGACCAAGAGTTACACTTGGATGATTACATGTGTGTGAGTCCAGCGTTGTGTGCTGATCACTGTGTCTGATGTAACATGGACATCTGTAGCTGGACTGAGCGTCCCCTCCTGTACCGAAAAACAAATGGACTGATTGATACACGGACAAACTTTGCAGCGCACCGCCTGCTGATGCCACTTCACTGAAGTGCACATTTGGTATTCCGTGGCTGTCTCAATTACGCAATCGTGCAGGAACAATTAGCTGCGTCATTTAACCAAATACTTAATCCGCACGTACTGTCACAAAGGCAATTAGTTAACGCAAGCAAGCTGCCAAACACACACACACACTAGTTAATACACATTCACTGCATTCTGGGCTCTTGTTATGTAACTCAGCCGAGCTGTCTGCAGTGCTGCAACACGTGTTAGGAATCTCCTGCAGTCTGCTCACTCTTCCCTCCTGAAACAAGTTTTACTGTCTCTCTCTTCCTCTCACCTCCCCTTTCGTCTTCTTCTTTTGCGTCTTCTTCTCCTATCTTTTTCTTGTATCTTCTTCTTCTTCTCTTATCTTCTTCTTCCTTCACCTCCTGTCTCTGTCTCCTCTCCTAGAGTCCATGATCCTCTTGGGCTCCATCGAGCGCGCCCAGCTCCAGGCGCTGCTCTCCCTGCAGCTCGGCCGCCCCAGACGGCTGGAGTACATCAGGGAACGAGCCCTCGAGGAGAAGAAACGCCTGTCGGTCGTGTCGAACGTGGGCAGCGAGGACGGCAGCCACCGGGCCAGTCAGGAGGTCCGCTTCCAGGTCAGAGGTCACAGGGACTGGATGGCTTGACATAGGCTGTCAAAAAAACATCCAGTTTACTAGTTTCTCCAGATTTTATTTGCAAAGCTACAGGAAGGCCTTCAAAATAAAATAATCAGTTTTGCGTTAAAAGCAGGCGGCAACCTTCAGTTCTATAAAGTGAAGTGAATGCGAAAGTGTCTTAAAGCTGCATTCTCTCTACTGTCCACCAGGGGGCGACTCCTCTGGTTGTATAGAAGTCTATGAGAAAATGACTCTACTTCTCTCTTGATTTATTACCTCAGTAAACATTGTAAACATGAGTTTATGGTCTCAATCTCTAGTTTCAAGTCTTCTTCAATACAGCATGATGTTCATTGAGTAAATTATGATCCATTTAGAGTCAAAATGTGATTGACAGGTCAGAACCAGAGCCGCATACGGCTCCACCTACCTAAACTCCAACTCAAGCATTGATTGGAGAATGCTTTTTATTGTCTCATTTACCAGATGCTTGGGCGCTAGAAGCAAAATTAAGAAATCCCCACAGTAGAGTTACAATTCATCCTTAGGAAGATACAAGATCCTCTCTTTTCAACATCTACTATCGGAAAAAATCCAATATTTGTTTACCTGAATTTTTAAGTGTTGACAGTGAAAACTGAGAGTTTTTAATGTTTTAAAGTCATTCTGTTGTGAAAGAGAAGTTTAGAATAAGTTAGTTGCATTCAGAAACGTGCGTGTGTGTGATAGATGGATAGCTTAGAGCGTTATTAATGTGTTATGCCATCAATAACAGTAATAAGTATGGGTTTTGTGAGAAGATGGATTGTCAGCTGTGGTTGAAGATAGATGTCTGCTCTGGTTCCAGGTCTCTGCCCCGTGGTGCTCAAAACGTTGATTTATCTCTTTTTTTCCGTCTTCATTTCTCTTTCATCAGTTTGCAGTGAGTGGCGAGGTAGAACGCCCTCCGGCATGGGGGTGGGAGAAAGGGGTGTGTGTGTGTGTGTGTGTGTGTGTGTGTGTGTGTGTGTGTGTGAGATGCCTATTTACCTCCTTGAGCTTTTCTTTTTTTCCTTCACATCTTCTTTCCTTCATTTTTTCCCACTTTCTCCGTTTCTCGCTGTGCTTTTTTCATCAATGCCTTTAAACGGTGATAGAAGTCTTGTATTCCTTAATTGTTGACTAATATCTTTGTATTAAACCTCCTAATAGCTGATTGCTATTTATAGTAAGTCATTATTTTTGTGGTGGAGAATCCTCTGAAACAGCTTTTAATATCAACCATAACAATTTACTGTCAACATCTTCCTTAAAGCAAGAATAATGTTTTGATTTTTTAAATGTATCAATCCATATTCAGGGGGGGTTGCTGGTCTGCTGCTGCTTCGATCGAGGCAGCAGCAGACCAGCAACCCTGTGGTCCTCGAGGTAAAATCACTGTTATTGTCAAAGCAGTCTTGTGTGACACGGATAACAACAGTCCCCCGTCAGAAAGCACTTTTTTAGGGCAAGGTAAAGCTGTGAAAATATTCTAAATATAGCGTACACTGATTCTTTTAGGTGTCTAAAATACGTCCACAGCAGTACATTGATGTGCTCCCGTGCTGGTACTCCTGTTTGTTTCTCTAAACTCCATCTACTGTAGTAAATACTGGAGAAATACCTCAAACTATCCCTTTGGAAATATAGGCTGACCCTTCACTGTCACTCACTGAAAGATAACTTCAGCCCAGTCTATCAGGAATGTTAATGAATTTACAAATGGGGAACTTCAGAGAACTCCAGCGGATTATAAATCAAACTAGTTTCTCACATTTGATCTGTGAAACATTTTCTGGCTGGAACCAGAATGTTCCCTCCACTTCAGAGAGACGCTATTAACATAACCCAGCAACAACATTTTGTAGGTCATGGAAGTGCCAGCATGGAAAGTCATTGAAGTCATGAAATGTTACATCAAGGCCAACACAAGAACCCTTATTTTAGCTCTCAACTCCCGCTGCTTTATTTTCTTTTTTGTTTCTCTTTTCTACTGTTTTCCCCTCTTTTGATTTGCCTCCATTGCATCACTCCGAGGAAGTTCATCCATTCATCTAATGAGTCTGCAGAAAGAGACCGAGGGGTTGATCTCTAAAGCAGTATTGGGGGTTTTGAGTCTATCTTTGTGTGTGTGTGTGTGTGTGTGTGTGTGTGTGTGTGTGTGTGTGTGT